ATCCGACAGAATTCAAAATAAGGAAAGCATTGCACATATGTAAATCCATTATTATTGATATTCACCTCTCACTCATTCTATAATATGTACACACGAATATCAAGGATACTCGCACTTGCTTAGTTGGAAAAATTTTATGGAAATAATATTCAAATGTTTCATTTCACACACAATAAAAAAAAATATTTATTTGACGCACAATAAAGAAAATATTTATTTCAGTTAAGTATTTCAGCTTCATATTGTAAAATATATATTTTGAATATTTTATTTATAAAATCAATTAGGTATTTTTCAATTAGTATTTCATTTAATACAAAAATAAATTGCTATTTCAAATGAAACATATGTAACACAGTTGATAGTAATAGTATTTGCGAAGTATGTGTATTTCTTATTTGAAATATTATTACTCAGGTCTGAATGAATTCGTAAGATTCCTTCCAGCAAATGTTGCTTTCGATAATATTAATAACGATTATGGTATGGTAACCTACCGCAATCTGCTTCATCGTCGCCGTTAGGACATTGCTTTATCGAATCGCACCACTTTCTTTGAGGCAAGCAGGCAGTTGCGTTTCTACAAAGAAACGTTCCCGCAGGACAGCTATCTGCAATTTGAAAAACACGAACGGAGTTCCTTGACAATAATATCACGACAATGCATGATAAAATATATAAAATATAATAACTGACAATAAGAGAATTAAAGTATCACATTTCCTATCAATCCTTTATAAACAAGAATTCTATTAAATATCAAATATATTTTACACATGTGTATTCATATGTAATAAGATTAAATGTTAAAGAATTAATTACTAAAATTGAAGAAAAATGTCTATTAGATTTTCTTCTTTGAATAATAAAGTAATTCGTTTAACATAAGGATGATGACCGAAGACCTTTGTAAGCAACAGTTAAATGCCACTCGTTTGATAGAATTACGTTTACAAAGTGTAAATTCCAACTTCTACATGCGTCAATTAGGAAATATATTCGCAAACGTTTTCCTACTTTCGTCAAAATCGATGTTTACAAAAAAATTAGATATCGCGTTCAAAAAATATTTGATCAGAATCCACATTGTTCAGGATCACATTTTCTTTTCTTTCCAGATTTCAATGTTTATGAGACACTAAAACGCATTAAATTTAAGAATTATTTGATCAAAAGACGATTGGACTACTTAATAAATCGAGATTGCTTGTTAAAAACCATATTTTATAGCGGACTTAACCGTATAAAGTGAAAAAGAATTAGCAACATTCACTATACTAAATTGTACATCCAATATACCGGGCTGAGATGAATAGATCAGTTTTAATGGTAACGTACCTTGATTAAAATAATACATGAGCCCCGAAAGCAAGCATACGGAGGTGATCAAAGATCCGCCGATCACACCGATGCGTTTGTATCTCATGTCGGCGAAAAAATATTTCTGTTCTCGGCAAGATCTTCGAAGCGATCTCAGACGGCACCGTTCCAGTCGACTTTCGTACTTTCTTCGAATGAACAATGTTCCCCACGTGTACTCGGTGCAACGACTGCATGACACTGATTGCATCCGCCAGCATGTTGCAAGCTCCGTCGCCACGCACACGCGCTCTTCATCGTCCTCGGACGAGGATTCCTTGCCCGTTTGTTGGTCGGAATTCTATTCTGAATTTACATCGATCAATTATTCTTATCTTGGCGATCTCAATGATACAGATAGACGTCCCGGATTGAAGAGGATATCTCGCGGCGCGAGGGCAAAGGCGTTGGACCGACATGGATGGAGGAACTGCACACATTCGTCGGTGAAACTATCAATTTTATTTTATCAGGGTGTCGGTAGAAATTGAGTTCGCTGCCGACCGTCCAGAGCAATCGTATTAATAAGAAATCCTCTGCCGGGAGTACGACACGTGTAATTGCAAGTAATACCCCTGGCAAAAAAGTTCGAACACTTTTACAAACGCAATAACTCTATTAAAACTGAATTAAACTTAACTTTTTAAATGTTAAAGGAGTTAATTCACCGTGCAATGACTAAAATACTTATAATTTTGTTATTACGTGGAATGACTAAAATACTTATAATTTTGTTATTACGTGGAATGACTAAAATACTTATAATTTTGTTATTACGTGGAATGACTAAAAAACAATTAAAAAACTCTCGTTTTATAACTGCTTTATCTGATCCTGGAACGAAATCGATTGTATATTGTTATTTATTCTCTCGCATTCCCTGGAGCACTTGGACTTAAAAACTGGCCAAAACTATTTTATTATTAGTATTTTTTGGAAATGGAATAATGCCATTACTTAGTACAATTTCATACAAAAAATGCACAGGTTAAAAAATTTACAAATAAATTTAAAAACGTTTATAAATATGTATTATGGTTCTGATATACTATTTTAATTAAAATTCCTTTGCAATTAAGGATTCAAATAAGTTAGCCCCATTTTTCATCAGACTCATTTATTTCCGAGTCGTCTATCGTGTCTCTATTTGTCTGATATTCCCGTAAAAATCTAATTAGAAACGTTTAGAAAATCTTATAGGCACGAATTGGCAGCTAATCTTTTTTATATGTATAGACAAGAAACCGCGCGTGCTTATATATATACTTTAATGATATCGAAACAAACATTAAAACTCATTTGGAAGTATAATAAAATTCAATATAAATTGTTTGAAATGTAATATATTTCACTATGAATTATTGGTGACATCAATCTTGTTGGTTTATAACTTTATTAATCACGAAAACACAAGTAGTGTAGAACATTTAACAAAAAGCTGCATTTAACATGATCTCTTTGCGATGTATAAAAATCACTAACGAATAAATAATAATCAAGAACTAAATAGTTAAGAGAGAAAAGTATCGCAAAAGCTCTTTACTCTTAATAAAGCACAACAATTAAAGAGTGAATACAATTTTAAAAAAAAATATTATAAAATTGTTTCCTATACATTGAACAATCTCAGAAAATAAAAATTTTATACTTTACGGAAGATTTTTTAAATCAACTTTTCACGAGTTTTTGAGGCCAAACGTTCCACTGTGCATCATTCCCGTTATAAACTATATACGTTTATTGTTCCGTATACCATGTGTATATCATTTATAGTTTCTTTGTATTTTGTTAAATATACGTTCATTTAGACTGCGGATATTTATGTAAAATAGAGATTACCTGTATCGACATCTTTTGAAAGAAGTATTTTACAGTCGTTGCACATTGCGCGAACCTCGAACAAAAGGAGGCAATGAAATAATTCAATGTGTCACTTCGAAACATTTCCAATGAACAAATATTTCGTACAATGTTTCAATCAACTCGGGAACGACGCGTCCTACACGCTGGTCTGCGAAAGAACTAAACCAAGAAAAATATTGGAAGTCCGCAAGATTGAAGTTTCCGATCCCGAATCGCGAAGTTTCTAATAATTGCTACAAAAAGTTCTCTTCACTCTTCGAGTTCGCAGATAGAACAGCTGCACCTTACTATTCACCGCAGACTGTACGCATGCAGAGTATGTATATTCCACGAAAAAAGCCGTGACATTCCAAGCAATCACGACTCGCGCGGATGGCGTGACAGTCCCTAACGTCCGACTAAAGCATTCGGCAGACTACGTGATTACGCATTAATAGGAAACTAGTATCGATCGAAAGCTGAAAAAATGTTGTCGAACTTTTCTTTGAAATTTCAGTCGAATAGGTGCGCCCGCTAGGCAAACTTTGGTTACTGGCCACGATCTTCACTTATCGTAAAAATAAAAATCGTATTAGAAGCTACTGGTCGTCAGTATGTTACCGTCGATCCGCTATTCTCCAATATAACAAAGCGGACAGTTTGAGAGAATGTAACGAATTTTCGTAAATAATGTAAACCGGGAATCGAGAAATACACAGGTACCTTTCAATTCTAAAAAAGAATTCTATTCTATTCTACTTACATCTTACATTTGAGAGCATATCTACAGTTACTCGCAAAATTGAGCGTACACCTTTTAAAACGCAATGACTTTTTTAAAACTGGACTAAGCATTTGAATTTTTTTACGTGATAGAGTCTATTAGACGATGACTAAAATGCTTGTTTTTAATTTTACTATTACTTGGGATGACAAAAAAGAATTAAAAACACTCTCGTTTTTTTAACTTTTTTATCTGAGCCTATAACAAAAATTTAAAAAATGAAGACTGCAGATTTCTTTCAGTTTTTGGTCAAAATCGTGATAAAACTGCGATTTTTGCCATCTTTAATTTGTTGTTAAGATCTACGAAAGTTACAGAGATCTACGAGAGACATTTTTTGAGTTTTTGTCATTGCAAATAATAGCAAATTTTAAAAAAAGGTATTTAAAAATAGCAAAATTCAAGTCGCTTAGTTCAGTTTTAAAGAAGTTATTGCGTTTTAAAAAGTATGCGCTCAATTTTGCGAACTTTAAAATTTTTAACTCTTATCGTGAAGAATCGCTATAAATGTTTTCTCATGAAACAGATATTCTAGAATTTTTATAATAAAAGTTTCATAAAAAGAAGTTATTTTAGGACACTTATTAGAAAAAATTTTAATACAAATAGAACTACTAATGATAAAGCTACAAAAATCATAATTAATCATAATTATACGTACATTATGTTATTAATAGATTTTATTTACATTTTTGTTTATAGCTTGAACATAAATTTGCGAATATGCCACTATTATAATATATAGGTATTGCACATCTTTATTAATGTCTCAGTTATTTTTACTGAGACGAAAAAGTATGAAAAATTATCTTGTGAGGAAAAATACGTAAATTCTAATAATTCTTAACTTTGGACTGAACGAATTTTTTCGAATCAGCAAGAGTAACGAAAATATTAACCCTTTGCACTCGAAGCTATTTTAACTGTAAAAAAATATAAAATCATTTTTCTCACTTATAGTATTTTTTATTTTATACGATAAAATGCATTTTATGCATATGAAATTGATTCTTGGGACTCACGCAACAGTTACACTCTTAACAATTTTTTAAATCTAAACTTTGTTAATATAGAAATTATCTTAAAACGTGATGTGACAAATTTTAGTGATGCCTATGAGTCACCACTCGAGTGCAAAGGGTTAAGGTATGAGAGATAAGGTATGAGTACTATCTTGCAATCGATAATTTATGGCATTAGCAATAATCCTCAATGCCTGTTTATAATATCATAATTGCAGTAACTTGATACAAACGCAACCGACGTTGCCCAGCTACGGATGACGGATGTTGACAAACATAAGCTAACAATTTACCTTTATCGAACTCAGAATAATATCGTATAGCACCTCATTGGATCTCTGTCTGCTGTTACTTTTCGAAGAAAAAAATATTGCCTTGCATTTAAGAAAATTAGGTTGACCGTCAGATCTCTTGTACTACTTCACCCACACAAAAAACAATTAATTACATGATGTAGGCCGCCCTATCAAACAATTTTTGTAGGAACATGTTTTTGATAACTATAAAATTCCTTCCAAGATATCCTACTGTACTCACTTAAACAAGACACCTGTATATCTCGGCCAATTTTACGAATTCCGCCAAATGGCTATGCAAACACGTTCTCAAAAATTCGAACTTCGAGAAAATAAGAAAAAGATCGATTTTTTGTGCCCACGAATGTAGAAGACCCCCTTAAAGGCGAGAACTTTTTTTCAAAAAAGTTGCATAACTACTGTTCTAAATAGAACCAATTAAAAAAATTTCAGAGATTTTTCCATCCCTGATATAAACTATTCGTAAGAATTTGATATCTCGGATTTGGCATCTTATGAGTTCCCATAACGACAGCGATGGCATTAAGAATTCCTGGATTGAAGAAACCAGTATCAGTGAATATAGAGTTATTCTACGACGAGGCGGTGCTGTCATGGAGCAAACGTCTCCTGAGCTTATCCGGTCTGTGGCCGGATAATCGGAACGACGTTCGGTTCTTCTTCTATATTACCTACGTCATGACATTCACCTTGCTGGAGATCGTGACGCTGTTGCAGAACGTGCACGACCTTGAGAAGACGCTGAAAAATATCACGCTATCGTTCCCGACCATCTTGATAGTACTGAAGGCCGTGATGTTTCGGCTGAACATGCATCACGTGTTACCTTTGCTGGCAGTCGTGAAAAGGGATGTAGCGTACGGCTTGTATCGGTCGCAGGAGGAACGGCGAACGGTGGTGTGGTACAACGTGGCCGCCACCATGTTCTCCACCTCGTCAGCCTTGTCTTTGTTCTTCGTGCCCACGTTGTTTTACGCGAAGCCGATCGTCAGCTGTCTTTTATCGAGTAAGTGCGATTGAACGATGCCTATCGGCGTACGAACGCGCGGGCTCAACGGAATTCAATAACAGCCGAATCATTTCGCGCTAGGGGTGTTTACTGTCGGGTATTGAATTTCACTGTAACTTAACCGTAAACTTTTACAAACGTAAGTTGTTTAGCAAACTTTTAATTTCTCAATTATTTCTTATTCCGTTTTAAGTTAACTTTTACGTTAATACTTTAATTATTTAATATGTTAAATTTTATTAAATTATTAATCAGTTAAATTTTTTACAGTTATTTAGTTTTTTCATTGGTAAAAATTCCGGAGAAACATTTACTTCGTGACAGATATTTTCGATTAAGATATGGACCGTTTATTTAC